TGGAGGGAAGTAGTCATCCTGATAGGGAAAAATATTCCATTATTAAATGGGAATATTTTCAGAGTTAGTCATTTAGTGCATGAATCAATTCCTATTCATTGAGTGCACATGCATGTTATCTATTCAGTATTTGCAAACGCCTTTGCAAGATGTGCTATATGGTACAAATAGTATAACTTTACAGATTGATATGCTAGAGTGAGTGCTCTTAGCATTTTTGATGACTCACACTGTCACTTGTGAATTAATAAGTGATCTGAACTCTTCAGTGTAATGAACCCTATCATTTATTGAAAAGGGAAAACTGTTCCCATAATTAGTGTGGTGATGTTTGATAAGAAAATTCTGTTTCTGAGGGACTACTATTATTAAATATTGTCAGTAAATACTGTTCGTTTTTATAGTTGGCAAAGCACTTTCTGGCAGCCAACTTGATGAAATTTGGTGAAGAATTTGTTGTAAAAGTGTTCTTTAATAAATTTTGTCTACTATTTCATAATTAAAAAAAAAAAAAATTAAAATATTGAGAATATTGAAAAGGTGGGAATTTGCACTAAAGGGTTCTGCCTGAGACATGTCTTCCTAAACCCCAGAACGTTAGCATGGCATGTGTGGGTGATTAAAAGGGCATGAAAAATAATTAGTGACAATGTAAGCAACATGTTTTTTTACTTCCCTCAATACATTAAAGCAGTAGATTGGAAGGTGAGTGTTGTATCCTTCAAAATGACCTTGCATTTTTTGCATGTTCCAAAAGTCAAATGGGAGAAGTTTGTGAATTCTTATTTTTTTCACCAAAAATAGAGACAGTTTGTACTGCTTTCACTGTACGGAAAAAAAAGATTTAATTCAGAGCACATTGGGCACCATTACTTGTCTTTCATTTACTCCTCATAGCTGAATGCAGGGAAGAAAAAGAAAAAAATCACCATGGAAAAATGTAATTTTTTTTAGTACTTAGTTATGGGGGATATATCTAAATGCAGACTTAAAATCCCAATAAGAATAGATATCGTTAAAATGTTATCTGATAGTCAATGAGTTATTTGGGGAAAAAAAGCTGGAAAACCATGGCTGACACTCCTACTGTTTCAAAGACTGATGTTGAATTTACCCTCATTCCTTAAGATGGATATGAACATGCAGAATTTCAATAGAGGGTCATTACATTTTAAAAATGTTGGTTTAAAACCTTTTCTAGTGCTTAATATAAATCTGTGTGTATTTAATCCTACATTTCAGTTGAATTGAACATTGAGGCTCAACATCAGTGTTCAAGATTCAGCAAACTGATTTGCAGGCACAAGTCATTAAGAGCTTGAGACAGAAATAGTCATGTATGTTAATAGCTTTATAGATTCACAAACCCGGTAGTTTCAGAGAGAATATGTATGTCTGTGATGTTATTCCCATGTGTGATTGTACAACTATGTTTTTTTAGTGTGTGGATATATACATAAGTATGATTACAGAGTTTACATTTCTGACGTAATTGGTTGCTCGTATACATTTCATTTATAATAAGCAGCCTCAGTTTAAAATGTAGCCCTCAGAGAATTTCTGTTCAGAAATTAAATTTAGAAGATGTGTGGTTCCTATGCTGTGTATCCCTTGTTATCAGAATTGTGGATTGTCTTTGAAATACTATTATAAAGGTCAGCTCTATTGTACAGATGAGTTGCCAAGCTATAGACAAAACACTGGAGGCTTTTTGTAGGATCTCAAATGAAAAAGAAGAAAAAAAAAAAGGATGATAGGAAAATTATCACATTATTAGTTAAGTAGCTGATTCCAAATGACATATACTGTCAATAAAATCTTCCCTTATTTGTTTTAAAATCATCCTCAAAATTATTCTGTTTGCTCCAGTGGTTACTTATTATCCTAGAGTCTAGAAACGCACATGAATAGCAAGTCAGATTTCTATTTTGTGTATCTATGCTACTCTGTTCTGTTCAGTGATAAATGCTCGCAGTGATGAATGGGCTTAAACTTCCTACCATTTAGATTTCATGTCACAAAGTGTTATCTTAAATTAAGTGCCATCTATGGAAGCTTGAATATAATTTTAAAAGGGAACAGAACGCATATTCAAGCTAAGTGAACCTTTCCATTTCTATGCAATCTTAAATTAACAGAAGTAAAGATATGAACAGATTTTTAAATATGGCCAATTTGGGCATTGAATAAATAATTAGAAAACCAGCCATTTTGTGAAGTAGCCAGAAGTTAATACACTTGGGAAAAATGCTTATAGATATCAGTTTCTTTCACTTAGAAAGAACATGCTTGTTTTAAGTTCAGTTTTATATAAGAGTTCTGCAATATAATATAAGGCATATATAATATATTTTATATTTTATATTATATATTATACATTATATATTATACATTATGCATTATGCATTATATATTTTATATTATATATTATATATTATATATTATATATTATATATTATATATTATATATTATATATTATATATTATATATTATATTATATATATTATATTATATATATTATATTATATTATATATTATATATTAGTTCAGTTTTATATGATATGAGAGTTTCTTGTTGGATAACAGACAATAGCTGCTCAGGACTTACAAACACGCACTAAATAACACAATGTTTCAATCACAGAGTCATAGAATTGTTCTGGTTTGGAAGGGGCCTTAAAGATCATCTTAGATAAAGAGCCAATCCCCTTGTGGTCAGGGACACTTATTGCTAGACCAGGTTGCTCAGAGCCCAACCTGGCCTTGAACACTGCCAGGGATGGGGCATCCACAACATCTCTGGGCAACCTGTTCCTGTGCCTCACCACCATCACAATGAAGACATTTTTCCCAATATCTATCTATTAATAGAAGGTAAGAATGTATTGTTCCTACCAGCAGCTCTAAGAAATAGATTTTCCAATTGCCCCATATTGTGGCTTGAACATTCAGAGTCTGAAGGGTTTGTCCATGGCAGGGCGCTTTACAGGGAAGGCATAGCTTTGAATGTGGTCATGGGCTTCTATGTCTCTCTGTCTCTGTGACAGCTGTGATGACTCAGAATATTAACCAGATCACTTTTTAATGCTACTTTAGTTAAGCAGCTGCAAAACAGATAGCTTTTCAGTTGTTTAGATTCCATTTTTGTCATACTCTTGTATCTTTCCTTATGAAATTAAAAAAACTCATAATTGTGCTAAAATAGGCTGTAATAAAGCCAGTGCATGCAAGTTTTAAACTGTTGTTTTAGCACTGTAATTTTTAAGCAGTTAATGAAAGTCATTGTTTTAGATCTAGTCATGTAAGTGTAAAATTATGAATGTCTGCCCTATTAATCAAGTTGCTTTTGAATTCTAAAGAGATTCTGAGGTAGGAGTTTGCTCAGTGAGACATAATTGTTTTTCCAGCTCAATACAGACTAGTCCCATTATTCATGTTTTCTTTTCAATAAGAACTCACACTGTAATTCTAAGCACTTATGATAATTACAAAGGACATTTTTTCTTTTCTTTTTTTTTTCCCCTTTCCTTTAAAATGCATTCCCCCCCTCCACTGGCATTATAACAAAAAAGCAGAATATTATAACCATTTTAAATTCTAGTTGGGACACTTGCATTTTGCCTGGAAAATTTTACCCATTTTCTTCCTTGACTGTGCTGTACAGCTGTGTGTCGTTAAAGTGCTGTTGCATATGCCCCAGGTTTTGTGCATTTCAGAGCTTATAAAATATGTCAATTGTGGCTGTCCTACAAGGTGATTTTTCATAGATTAAAATTTGGCTTAGTGTATACTTACCCAGATAAAGCTTGAGGCAATCAATAATTGAAAACATGAAGAGATTAAAAGGCCATTATATATATGCACAATTAGAAATGCAAGTATCATCGCGTTCTTGTGGAGATGGCTAAAATGAGACCTTCCTAGCAGTTGGTATTGTCTAATCTCTTACAAAAGTACCTACTATGGCTGTGCTTATTCTGTCCTGGTAATGAAAGGCTTAAGCCCTCAAACATCTTCTCTGGTGTTTCACTCTTCCTCTGAGCTGGCTCCAACCTGGAGCAACATAGCATGCTTGTCTAGTGGGAAGCCACCTCCAGGAGGAGCTGATTGGAAATTAATCTCCAGTTTGATAAAACTGTGCGATGAAGCCGAGGCTGAGTTTATTTATTGCTTACAAAGACTATACATGGATAAGGTCAATGGCTTCTGTTGCAATTTGGCATCTTGTTGTTCGACTGTAGGCCAGATTTTTTCAAAAGTAGTCAATCAATACAAAAAATTTTGATCTTTCCAAATTTTCAGTGTGTAACCATAGTGTTCTCAAATGAGTGTCCTACAAGCTTTTTGACTCAACCCAAAGTGAATGGAGACACATTGGGTTTAGGACAAAAGATGCCTCAGCTCAGCTGGTGCCTTTTTATGGCTTCAGAATTCTCCAAGTAACTACAACTACCACATCGCCTGGGGGGAATGTGAAAGGTAGATGGATATGATATGAATGCCCTTCATTTCCCTTTGAGACCTACTGAAACCAGTTGGTTCCTTTGCCCTCAGATAGTTACCTCAAATATAATGAACCATCTCTTGGAAATGCCTTTTCTTGTCAGTAGAGATGTAGATATATCTGTATCTCTGTCCTTAAAATTCTGCATGTGTCTTCTCTCTCCATGAATTGCATGGGGAACCAAAGGCTGTGTTAGTCAGGATGGATTTCTTAAGCTTTCTCTCCCTTACTCTGACAGATTTTGTACAGAGTAAAATAATTTGATTTCAGACCATAATTTCGCTTTAGGGTCCTTTAGTGTAATAGGTAATTAATCTGCTTTTTTATGTCCCTCCTTTTTATTTCCTCTCTTTTTGGAGAGGGTGTAAAGACCAATGCAAGTAAGAAGTCCTGTCATCAGTAACTAGAGACTGTGAAGCCAAAAGAGGAGCTACTCTTAAAGTACAAACCATGCCATCTATTTTTTATTCACTGATACCACCCAGTGTTACATGCTTTTGGATTTAAGAACAATTTTATTTGTATCTGCATGACCTGTTTTTCACTGAAATACTACTAGGGGAGGAGATTAGACAGAAAAGTGTATTCTTGTATACAAGTAGTTGGTAATATCTTAAAGCACCAACACATGTGGTGCTAATTGTTGCAGCCAGCATTCATACAAACATGCCTGAAAGTTACTGACAATAACTGTACAGTGTGTGATTTTCATAAAGTGTCAAAGCATCAAGAACACACTGATGAATGACTTCAGTATGTGATTAGGCCCATGAGTGCTCAACAATTGTTGTCGTGGATTAGGCGGCACTTCAAAACCTTGAGATAGTTGTCAATTTTGTGGGAATCTCGGCGGAGGCAGTGCAGCAGGTTGTAGAAGGCAAAGAGTCTGGAGTCCTCATCAGCAAGCTGCAGGGATGGAAGTCCGTCCCACGGAGTGTAAATGTCATTTTCGACCACCCCAGACTGAACCTAAATCCACAAAGTGGTATTAATAGTAAATGATAATGAACCTGACTGGATGTAGAAGGCAGCATTTAAAATTCTGTCCTTGAAAAACGCTAGGTACTAGTGTATGGCTTCTAATGTACTTTCTATTGTGGCTCACACTATCTTGTACAATGTTCTATATATTCATTCATATTTTGAATGAATTTGTCAGATTTTTCGGTTTATTTTCCTAAAACATGTAGAAAGCGTAACTGTGGCAGTAGTGCTTTAAGAGAACTAGTGTGTTAACCAGTATTCAGGGAAACTTGACTTCGCAAAGAAATCAAATCTTCCTTCATGCTTGGACTCATCAGAGACATCTCTCTTTGGCTCCCTCCACCTTCAAAACTTTGTTAACACTTGTACTTAGAAGTTGTTCATGTGTAACAAAAAGATTAGTCTCAGCCCTTACCAGAAAAAAAAAATAAATCTCAGCGATACATATTCAAAGTACTGGGCATCATAAAAAAAAAAATGTTGAATGGTACAAGGACTTTTAATGTTAGAAAGCTGCATGTAGGGACAAATGTAGTGAGTTAGTATCTGAGGTGAAGACTGGTTTGGGTCTCCTTGTTTGAAGACAATCATTAATTTTCTCTTATTGCATGAATCTACCTTTCATAACAGGAAGTCTATGCCTATTGATGCCTGTGCTCCATCCTTATTTTGCACAAGTTGTACTTTGTAAAGACATATAGGGGAATATCTGTGAAGCCATTATCATTTAGTTTAAGCAAAAGAAAAAAAAAATAGACCCAGTATGACTTGAAAATATGGTTTGACACTAATGAATGAGCCACTCTTATCTCTTTCTGTAAATAATGTGAATGAGAAGGTGGTGACAGGTCAACTGGAGCAGCGCCTGACTTCTTACTCTTATCTTGGATCCTCAGCTGTGCCCTTTTTACACATGGATGTGTGATAGAGATGTATTTGATTACACTGATAAATGTATTTGTAGCCTAGATGGTATAAGGTTTCTGAGTGAAGAGACACCTAACTGAAAGAGAGTCCGTGAGTGATCCAGTGGAAAGTGGTGAATACAGCGATGGTGGCACTCTTCATGCTTTTCAGCTACTCAGAGCAGTGAAGTCAGAACCTCTTGTCAACATCTAACTCACTGACAGAATGATAAATTCAGTGACTAACAGAGACCCCTTTAAAAATAAACAAGCAAGAGCTGGTTTTATTCAGGAAAGCTTTCAATCAATTACTGGCAACAAGAGCTATTCAAGCAGGGGTTTTGTGAGACAACAGCCTTGTTGTCTAAACTCACAAGTATAGGGAGAACCAAGTCAGACATAGAGTCCAGAGGAATCAGTGTGGTATGAAAAGAGAAATCAAAGACATCAGGGTTACTTTGCTATATGCTGCATCTTCGCTATAGCCCAGACTCCCAGAACTGTTTTAAACAAAGTGTCTGTTTCCAAAACCTCTGTATATATTTGTATACACACACACACACACACACACACACACACATATATATATGCACATGGAAAAAATGGAGGTGCATCCTTAAACAATCAGGATTGCAAATTGAAAATATCAAAGATAAAATGACCATAGTCAGTCCTGATGATTACACCTTCCCCTGAAGCATGACTGGGAGTGTGATGGGTTATTAGAAATTGCAAGATAGTGGAAAAAAAGAAATCTGAGAGAAGAAAGCTGAAAGGTTGTCAGACTCAACTGCTTTGTCTCCCTTTATCTTCACATCTACTGTTTCCCCTCATATTCTAGGTAGGGAGAGCCTATCAATGTACACGCCTTCCTTAAAGCAATTGGCTGGAAGGGTGTTAAGGACCTACTTACCCGCCCAACTATTTTCTCCATTCCTTCTAGAAGTCTCTTGTTTTGTTCTTCAATCTCCACAGCCTTCCAGAGAATGGTTTCTGGAGCTTCTTTCATTCTTTGTACTTCAGAAGCCAGGTGGACCAGGGGATCATTCCAGGAACGCAGAACTCCCAGTATTAAATTCAGTAAGTCTTCGTGCTGCTCCCCCACAGTAAGGAAAGGTGGTCACAAGAAGAAAGTTAAATTCTGGTAAGATTAGAAGGCATTTAGAGCAGTGTCCTCAGACACTGTGACTTAGAAACTTGTTCCAGAATCTATTACTGAATGAGCCCTATAGGCTTGTCTTAGATACCTCTATGCAGCTGCATTTTTGAAGTTTGTCATTGATGTCATCATGTTCTGCAATATTTGCAGCAGAATATTGTGGAGGAAAATATAATCAAATATTCTCAGCACTAAAAACTAGCAAGTATTAATATGTCTCTGTGAAAGCAAACCCAGAACTTCTTATCTGATTTTTGATGAATGTTTTAAAATCCACTGATTTTTTTATTTTATTTTTTTTTAATTTTTTTTAAAGTTTAGTACTGACTGGAAGGTGCACATTATGGTAAACCACTAAATACATTTTATTGCCTCTACATAACTCATCTGTCCTCCCCTTTGAACAACAGTGCTTCCAGCAGTGGCTCTCTGGTTTCAAAAATTGTCCTTTCTTGTGGGCACTAGGAATTCATCAAGCTTATGGTTAAGGTTGTGGCAGTATTAAACCTTTTCTTGTTTGCTAGATGCACAACCCAGGGTTGTGGATTCTACTGCTCCCACTAGAATTTCTAAACGGCACACTGAGAAGCTGGTAATACTGTGGGATTGAGAAGATACCACCACTGCCATGAAACTGATAGAGATTTCACTCTAGAACATCCCCATTTATACAGCTCTGCTTATCTTTTTCCCCAGAGAATTTTCAAATCATATCTGTGAACACAGGCTGAACAGGATTAGTCTCATCTTCACTGTAGTTTATAATTATTTTAAATGATGTGTACATGTAGTGTGTCTTATATATTTTTTAGATTTTCACACTGGAGTCTTTGTATCAGGATGTTGATGTGACCACTTTTACCTACTGGTAACACAAAAAAAATATCTATTCAGTGTTTTTTCAGTAATGCCAGTGTTTTGAGTTACTGGAAAACTATTTACCTCTAGAGTCTTCATACAGCAATGTATTTTTATGTTTGTAAATACATTAATGGTTTATGTTTTAAGATAATGTTTAAAGGTTGTAGTGTTCTCAACACTGCACAAACACGGTAACTGGCATTGCTCCATGAAGTAGTGTTTTAGTTGGAAATAAGATGAAATGATAAATGTGCCATACAGGAAAAGGAAGGGATGATGAAAGTCACTGGTACTTACATATGCTGTTTGTAACTTAGAATTAGCAAATAAAAAATGTTAAATCAACTTTGGCTTTTTGGTGTTTTCCTCTTTCTGACTTTCTTATTCTGATTGAGTTGCTCTGCCTCTCAGTCTGACAGATGCCTCACAATTCTGTAACCCTCCTTCCCTGCCTTCCCCTGCTCTGTAACTGAATTATACTGGAAACGGGACTTACATGAATCTGCTGAGCCTGCTCCTTGTCTTCAGGAGTGGTTAAAGACGCAGTGTGGCAGCTATTGACAGCTTTTGCAATGAAGCCCCGGCCCTGGGCGTAGCGTTCATCCTGCAGATCAGCACAGACAGGTGTTATTGAGACAGAAAGGTAAGAGCTTCAGCTCAAGCACTGTGCTAGCTAATTGTTGTTCCATAGCTTTTATCGCTGCTTTTATGCTGTAAAGGTCAAAAGTTCCTGGTGAGTCTCTAGAGTGGAACTGGCATGCAGCAAAAGCAAATGTCCCACAGATGAAGAATGATGGGAAAATGGTATCTTTTAATAGAAGTTCTGGGGATCTCAGAAACATTCAGGACTATATACCGATTTGGTCACCACTGGGACTTTCACCGTCTGTTCAGCAGTCATGTTTATTTACTTATTATATGTTAACATATGTTTGTGATTAAAAAGTATTAAACTGCAACTTTATATTTTCTTATAGGAAAGAATATAGGAAAAGCTCTCAGGAAAAGAGTACTTACAAATTCATTGAACATTTCTGAAGAGAGGAAGTGGATGTAGTGTGAAAGTTTAACTGCTCGGTCAAAAAGTTCCTCAAGGGAAAGTTGGCAATTGACAGATCCATTGGGGCAGATTGGCAAAGAGGTCACTCCTTCCTTTGTCAGAAGCATGTGGGACACCAGAAGGGCCACCAGCAACAAACCTATTCAAGTTTAAAACACAGGGCAATGAGCTCACATTGACTTGCAGGTGTATTTAGAAGCAGCTGTCAGAGCCAGATGCTGGGTGATTCGGGCTGTGCTGTGGCATAGCTCAGAGTAATCCCTGTGCTGGCTGCTGAACAGCAGTGGAGGACAGACACACTGTAATTCTTTAATTCTTTTATCCTTTTTCCCCTCTGTCATCCTGATGGCACAGCAGAGCCTGTTACAGAGTTTGAGGAGACAAGGTAACCTGTGCTGTAGTGTACAGTGTGTTCTGAAGTCTGTTACTAAGTGTCTGATTTTAAAACAGAGTGATAAACAGAAGGAAAAAAACCCCCAAACTCCTTCACACTGCAAATATAGGTACATAAATACATTTGTCCAGATATATAAGTCTGGAAAATAGATTGGTCTTTTTTACTTTCTTTCTTTTTTTTTTTTTTTCCTTCCTTCTCCTCCCAAAGGTCCTTTTCTTCTTTGCAGACATTTGGAGTTAAATTAATTTTTGTGAGAGGATGGGTAGGTCACTCTAAAGGCTGTGATTGCCCTGGGAGTTCCTTCAAAAGATTTCCAGCAGCTGTGTTTCTTTGCTCTTTAGAGTTTAACCCTAAATTTCTTACTTCTTAGAAATTAGTGATAGTCTTTGTCCTTTCTCCTGAGCTTCTGAAACTGATTTTGAGAACTTCATGTTATCTAAATCACAAAAACTCATCTGTTTAAAATTTTTCATGTTAATTTAACAAAGTAAAGTTTTTTTTATTCAGTGAAATAAAACATACAGAGAAAAAAAAGGAAATAATTATAAGAAAATATTTGGTAAATAAATGTACTTGTTCTGAGACTTTTACTTCTGGAAATTGACCTGTTACCTCTATTAGTTCACTAGACTTATTTAAAATTCTATGTTAAAGTGTGCTTCATAAATCAGCAAAACTATGCCTAAAGATGTCATGTGATAAGTTTCTTTCTAGCTCTACATTCAAGAGAAGGTGGATTTACACAATATTGAAGTAAGCCTTCCTCCTCCCCCACGAGCAAGGTACGTGCTGGAAGCTGCAGCTAAGAAAGATCTCTAAGGAATACCTCCATGAATAAGAAAACCTGAGAGTTTTTGGCTTGGAAAGTCGATGACAGTTTTGAAAACATTAATTTCAAAATTACCACATCACCTCTAGACTTGTGGATAATGATGTCTAGTCATAGTCTTCAGAGTGGTGCAGGAAACCAGTCCAGATTCAAACTTGCACATGCATGTGTGACATCCCTCAAACCAATTCTTTGTAACACTGCCCAATACAAAGGTACTCTTAGAAGACAGAAGGCATCAAGCTCCTTCAGGTTTTGCCTTTTCTGGCAAACTAGGTGACTGGAAGACCTCAGTTTCTAGATGTGTTACATTTCAGCTGCCTCCTAATTCAATCAAAATGGAAAGAAATATAAAAATTGTCGGCAGGTGAATGTTAAAGTTCTTACCTTTCAGTGAAGCCCCCTTGGTGTTCATGGTAGTCCTGGATGATGACTTGCTTTACCAGAAGGAAACCTCAATACTTGCTGTTATTCTCTGCAAATACCACTTTTATATACACCATCCAGGGTCCATTTTGCATACATTCAGCAGGTTGTGGAGTTTGCCTCGATAATTACAAACATCAAATTGCCTTTCTTCCGCATTCATATTCAGTATTTTTTTGGTTCTTTTTTATTTATTTTTTTTTAAACTTTAGCTGTGAGGGGGAATTTCATTAATAAGTTGAGCTGTGGGATCCCAAGAAGGACTGAATGAAGAGAGTGCCAAAATTTTGCCCTGAATGAGGTGAAAATGCCATCAATCCTAGAAATCTCCAGTTCTGAGACAGATATTCTTAATGTTTCTAGCTTGCTGTTCCCACTCCCCAAGATAGTCTTCTCATCCGTGTTGCTTCAGCCATCTAAGCTTGTTTACATTAAAATTCTGGCTATTTGTGGGAGGCAAACAGTAGTTTACAGTATCACCATTGAGAGAAATTGCATAAACTGAACAGATATTTATCCAGAGTAAAGGGAACGGATGTTTCTGGAAAGAGAGGTCACTATCTGTAAAATTTTAGATACGACATTCATGGCCAGTTAAAAAATATATTACACAGCACAAGACTTGGTATAACTGGTCCTCAGTCTGAGAGATCTGTGTAGAGAAACAAGCTGAGTTTTTACATTAAAAAAGTAAAAATTTAGAAGAATTGAAGAGGTAGAAATTATATATTTACTGCTTAATCTGAAATGTCTCATTAATAAGTTTGCATTATTTAAAAAGAAACAAACCCAACGCCTACAAAACCATGAAATAATTTTCTACACTCAAAAACCTTTTGCGTAAAAGATGGGCATTTCCACCACATGCAAAACACGTGCTGTCGTCAGCAGTGAGGTTTGTTCTTGATTTTGATGCGTCTGTGGTAACCTACAAACCAGCCTGAGCAGGTTAGCCCTGTTTTCTTCTTGTGTGAGGCTCATCTGCATGAATATGTTAGCAAATATATAACCTTTCATCTCAGTTCCATTTACCCATGAAGAAACTTTCCAAATTAGATGGTCATAATGAATAAGGTATACAGTGTTAATGAATTTTCTTGCCTTTAGACAACTTTTTCCATACCTGTGGAATGGGTACACATACAACCTTAAAGAATCCTTCATTATTTCAGGACACTTGAAGTAATGATGAGCAAGGGAGAAGAAAGGCTAAGCATTTAGGGATGGCATTCCTTGGGAAACAAGATACTTCAGCAATGAATCAGAGCCAGTAACAGGTGGTCTACCTTTGCCATATTCTAGGATGTTCACTAGAACAGTTTGTTCTGCTTAGAGGCTGCACCTTTACTGGAAATTGAGGTTCTTCTGAGTAAATGAAGCAGCTGTTGTCTGCAGCAGGAAAAGTGTCAATTTGATGATTAGAATGGGACCACAGAAAAATCTCTAACATGGATGGTAGAAAAAACAGCTGTCTTCTAAACCACAGTTAATGACTTATGAGCTTGATTTAATTCAGCTTCATTTGAAAACCTGCCCCAATAAGATTACAGGTGCGACTGAAAAATCCTGGTAGCTTACATTAAAAGAGTCCTGTGAATTAGGTGAATGAACAGTTCCCAACCCACCTGTTGCTCTTTCATTCACTAGTCTCCTTTTCTTGGCATTTACAAAGTTTGGTAGTGGGGCCAAAATAAGACACAGAGTTAATTAATATTAGGAACTAGATAATAAAGGCAGCAGTCTCCTCTGATAACAAAGGCTATCTTCTCTGTTTCTGGACAGGGAGGCCTCTCTGCGACCTGATGGCATCAGCTGAAGTCAATATCCTCATATGACAGCTTGAAGGATGACCTGTCTCTTGCTGTGTAAATGTTGACAAACACCTTAAATGTAGATCACAGGAGATGGTTTATTTTAAATCATTGCATGTCATTTTAATTAAAACTTTCTATCACAAAATAATATACTTTAATTTTCTCTTTCACCTTTAATCCTCAAATACTCTACAAACATGAATGGATTAAAATTGTCAGCAATCAAGAATCATAGACAGGAGAGAAGACACTCTCCATAAAATAGATAAGCATAAAGGTGAAGTTTTTTTACCAGGTGTGAGAATAGACATAGAAGTTAAGTTTATTTGTGTTTGCACAGGATGTCTTGGGGGAAAAATAAAATAAAATAAAATTCCCAACTCCCAGACCTGCACTTTAAGTGAAGAACATAATTTCTTACTAGTACTAAAAAAGAAAAACAAAAGTGAGAGAAAGAAAAGAGAAGAAGAATTACAATAACCAGAAATAAATAGATTAAAATATTAATTTTCTTTTATAAATTAGGAATTTTGTCCTATTTAAAAGCTGAGTAAAAACTTGAAAGTAGCTGAATATGCTTCCTTCTGCCTCTTGAAAGTGACCTAGCTTTATACATTCCAGAGACGTAAAATAGAACTCAGCATCCCATTGTTTCTGATTATCCTTTGAATCGTGTAAAAGAAGTTTATTCTAACCCCCAATAACCACCTAATTACCTAATTTTAACATTAACTCAAGATAGCACTATAACTAGCTGGACAGTTATCAGTACTGAAGAAGAAGCTTTTGGAACTACCTGAGGAACTACAAAGCACAGCTCTGATTAGCAACATGTTTCCATACCCATTGGGCTTTTACTTCTGCCAAAGAAATATACTTTTTTTTCTTAATTATCACATTCCTTTTATCTTCAAGGTCTTGTCTGGAAATAAAATGAATAATTGTTACCACCCAGTGTAAACAATGTACTAAAAGCAGGACTTTCTATAGGCAGTCCTTTATCACATAGCTTTTAGCTCATTATTCATGCTTCATAGTACCATTACATGGGATGTATCAATACTACAGATAACAACATTTAGTGCTCACTTCTCAATAACCTTATCTTTCCATCTCATATCAGGTTGCAAACCATGAATTAGGCTGTGGCATCTTGATTAAGAACTATTGATCAGTACTGGAAGATCGAATATTCTTATTCCATTTTACTTTATTTAAAGTTTTTTAGATATGCAAAGTCTTATGTCTGATTGACGGCTAATGCAGAAAAATGAAAAATCGTTTCTAATAGAATAGCTTCTTGCAGAATACTTAAGTAGTTTAATTGAAGAATGGTAATATCACTTGATTTTGACTTTTACTTACTTGGAAGCAACAGAACATTAGTTGATGCAGAAGTTTTAAACATAAAATATTTGTTATGCTTTTAAAAGATGATCCCCAAGTGCAGATCATGCAAAGAAGAATGTTCAGAAAAATATTCTTGTATGTAATCTAAATGATTGGCTCTTTGGACACACAATTTAAAAAAAAATTTAAAAAAAAAGAGTTTATGTTCTTGTGTTCTTGTGTTCTTGTTTTGCACATGCAATGAGAAATACAAAGAAGGTCAAAGCCCCTCTGGAATTGAATCTGGCAAAGGATGTCAAGAAGAACAAGAAGGGCTTTTTCAAATACATGAATAACAAAAGAAAGCTAAGGATAATGTGGGCCTGCAAAGGGAAGGGACATACTGGTAACAGAGGACACAGAGAAGGCAGAACTGCTGAATGCTGCCTTTGCACTGGGACAAGACCAGCCTTCAGAAATCTCTGACCTGGGAGACCAGGGTAGAGGACTGTTGGAAGGAAGACTTTCCCTTGATCTAGGAGGACTGGATTAGAGAACACCCAGGCAAACTCAGGTGCATGGGCTCTGATTGGATTTATCCACAAGTGCTGAGAGAATTGATGGACACCATGGCAAGGCTACTCACGATCAACTTTGAAAGTTGGTGACACTCAGTAGAGGTGCCTGAGGGCTGGAAAAAAGGAAATGTCACTCTGGTTTTCAAAAAAGGGTAAGTATGAGGACCCAGGGAACTATAGATGGTCAGCCTCACCTCAATCCCTGGAAAGGTGATGGAGTGCCTCATTCTGGGGGTCACCTTTGTCCACATGGAGGACAAGAAGGTGATCAGGAGGAGTCAGCATGGATACACAAGAGGCAAATCATGTTTGGCCAACCTAATTGCTTCTATGATGAACCAGCTACCTGGATAGATCAGGGGAGAGCAGTGGCTATCATAAAAAGCTGCTCTGTGGAAAATGACCTTGGGGTCTTGTCTTTCTTTTATACAATATTTGCTAAATTATCCTGTCAACTTTACTTAGTGGTTGGCTTTGAAAAGTTGCAAAACTGTTTTATCTGGATCAAACCCAAATCCTCAGAGCACATTAAATTTTCATAAAATCATAAAACTGTGGGATGGCTTGGGTTGGAAGGGACCTTAAAGTTCATCTTGTTCCAACCCCTCTGCCATGGAGAGGGACACCTTTCACAAGACCAGGTTGCTCAAAGCCCCATCCAAACCTGTGGAAAATCTATTTGGAAGAGGAAAATAAACAGAATATTTTTTTCAATCTAGATAGTTTTGAATGAAAAATATTTTTTCTTTTATGATTACTCCCTGTAAGGTCCATGAAACTTTTATGCAGAATTTAAGTGATTTCCTAGATTATGTTAAACAAGGGCTCTTTCTCCCTTCTTCTTCTTATACAGAACAGGAGAATTTTTAAGGCATTATTTCCAAATGTTTGTCTCAAACAAACAAAATGGGAATTGAGTCCTTTCTTAGTGTGCTCTCTGCATGCAGACTGGTAAAAAAATAGATAGGAACATAAGGGAAAATAATTCCATATGGAGGAAAAAAAAGGTGGAAATCTTTGGGAGATTTTCAGTTTACTTTTGATTCATGTACCAGCGTGGTTTCAAAAATTTCAGAAGTAGACATAAAATTAATTGGCAAAACATATTTTAAAAATAATTTATCAACATTGCCACTATGATGACATACATCTAAGTATACCATGAAATATTAAGTGTGAACCCCAAGTAGAATTTCAGCTAATGATAGCAAAAACCCAGGGGACTTTGCAAAGAATGGAGTAAAAGCTGGCTAGTGTATATTGTTCCTGATACTTGAAGTTGTTTGAAGCCCGTGGCTCACTGCTCACTAATGCTGT